TCGTCCAGTGGGTGATATGTAAGTGAGCCGTGTGACTAGCCCTCTCTTTCGCTCCGGCTATGCCCGTCTCTTTCGCAACCGAGCAAGTGCGTCGAAAGATTTGCTGACAAGCGGGTTTCAATTTGAATTTCGGTCTTAAGTTATCGCTTTTCGGGATTTTACGTATGCAAACAGCGTAGTTGTGGCATTACCGTTGTCTCGACGCGTCATAAAAAGTTGCCCCGCCCCCACATCCAACCACCGCCCCCCGAAAAAGGCATTCGATGATTACTCAAGGAAAATTTCACTTTGCATCGAAAGCTAGTTTTTGCATATGTACATAACTATTAACTAAGGCTTCACCGTGCCCATTGGACTTGGACTCGATTTCCTAACCACCGGCCATATGGACCTCCATTTAGCATTGTATATATAGCATTGAGATTCTCGAGCGTGGAATTAACATAAAGTTTTACCTCCCGGCTGGCCTCCAGTTAGAAACTGCCATAAATGCATAAGAACTGTGCAGTGAAGTCCGCTCAAAGACTTAATTGGGAATTATTAATTATTTAATTACCCTTACGCAAGCCAAGGTCGTCGGCTGATAAAATGCAATATTTTCTATAAGTTTACCTCTCACCGCCCGAAGACAAATAGAAAACAAACTAATCAGTGAAAAAATCGCATAAACAATTGCATGCAAAAACCGTATACAAACAGAAATCCAACATCAAGCCAAGATATATAATGTGCTTTCGTGTTTATATAGCAAAGACAGATTCAAGGTGAATGTTGCCATTATTTTTTTTGAAAGAGTGCTCGGGCAACAAGTGAAAATTTATTGGGAGTTTTTTGCTCGCGTGCTGAGCGAGTGAATTAAAAAGAAACGTTGCCAAAAATCAACGCGAATTTAATACCATTAAAGAGTACATAAATATCAGAAGCAATTTAAGGTGTTTGAAAAAATAAATAATCAGTGACTAATTTGGAAAGGAAGAAATAAATCACAAATCTTCGCGCAGAATGGGAATCCCCAAAGGCTGTTTTGGAGCTCGTTCGTAGAATCATTGCTCCGATTAGCATTTTAAATGAGCCCCTGCCTATTTGTTATTTGATATCTCTGGTTAAATTGTATACAATTAGATAAATAGTATTGTATTTTTAATGAATAATTTATAGCTATTTATGTATGGTATACCTCTGCAGTCATCGATTGTCTTAGCTTCTGAACAGTCCAATGTCAGTAACTATTTGGAGAACTTAGCCTACTCACACACAATTCTACTTATCGCGCATACGCAACGTTGGCGTTCCAGCCTTGAACTTTTTCGTTAGGTAGAACTGAGAAAGTCGCGAGAGAGCAAGAAATCGCATTATTATTAATTACATCTCAACGGTAACTTCAAAAACAACGAAAAATGCTTTGAATACCTTTCAGAAGAAACCCGTCTGACCCGTCCCACCAAAAAACAATTTCTCGCTTTTGACTAAATTCGCCAGCAAAGCCATCAATAATACGTATACGCAACAACAAAATGCAAATACTGGACAACAAATAATTTAACGATAATTTACAAGACGCCCGGGGCATAAAACAAAAGAAGCAACAAGTTTAATAAGAAACCAAGCAGCCAAATTGCAAATTACAAGGCACCACCAGCATTTCGGATAAGGTTTCTGAATTCGGAGGAGTAACGAAAATGTCTCGATCGACGTCAAAAACGACGTCGCTGCTTCTCGGCAGCATCATCGTTTTCTTCGTCACCATCAGCGGCTGCTTTGCACAAGGTGAGTGAGTTTTACATATGATATGTATTTTATGGTGCGCCATCTTATGCGCCCGCAAGACAAAAACAACCTTAATTTAAGTCATATTCTTCAAAGTTTGTTGGCGGCACAGCACTCGGGTCTCGTCGAGAAAACCCCAAAAGGTCTGTCTGATTCACTCCATGCTAATTTATCTAGATGGCAGCCGTGAGATCGGTGTCTTTTACAAGCCGGAACTCTTCGAAGGTCTGAATCGAAAGAACGACGACACTAAATGCGTGTTCAAAATTAAAATCTCCAAATTAAAGACAAATGCGAGTGAATTGTCACGAAAAATGAAACGGATGCTTGGCTTTAAAGCCCGAATAAAAACAATAACACGGCTAAAACTTCCGGGGAGTTAGCAGATGACAGCCGCGATTAAACAAACAGTTTTCCAACGAAAAAAAGTGCCTAACAAATAAGCACTTGATCAACTGGCAGCCACAAATTTGGTTGCACCTGCAGTTGATTTTTGTGCCCACGGGGACTCACAGTATTTGACAGGCAAATGTCGACAGTTTTGGCCTTTTTCGGGCACCTTTATTGGCTGCACTGAAAGAAAAAGATGTGCAGGGAATGTGCATCAAATAAAAAATAAAATCTTCGTGTGGCTAGATTTCTACATGCAAAGATCCCTGATTAGTGCATATATTCTTGAAATTAGGTTTTAATGATAAGTTAAAACTGTAAATTAACTTATTTAGTGGCATAAACATTATTTCATTAACATTTGCAACACTAAAATACTTAAAGCAACTTTAATTAGGAGACTTAAATGATGTGCGTACCCTTTTTGTTTGTGCTTCTGCACTGGCATGACTTTATTTCCCCTCCTGAAATGTGTTAAAATGTCAGTAAATGTCAATAAAACTCATGTCGCCCCAAAGGCCTGTTTAAATATGGGGTTAACTGTTCGAAAGTTTAAAGTACCGATTGTAAAAAAGAGTGCTTGGCACAGATTTGCGTTTACCTTAAGTGATTTTAAGGGGAAAAGCGTGTCATTGAACTTGGGGCAGTGTCACGTCAGCTTGCCATAATATTTACACAATTACAATGGATCTCGATCTTCAAATTAATCAGCAACAAAGTAACAACTGGCTGAAGAAGGCCACACAAAACAAATTAAAACTAAATCTGTTGCATAAGACATCAATACACAACCTTTCTACTGCGCAATCCGGGACGGAATCTTTTTCGGCCTCACAAAAACCAGCAAAAAGCGAGAGACAAAAGCAGGGTTAATAAAATTAACTTGCTAATGAAGCGATGATCACACCGCATCATTTCTATGGGCCACATGCATGCATATATACATATGTGTGTATATCAATATTGACTTAAATCATCTCGGAGAAGAAATCAAGAAATACAACTTATTGAAATCCGCTAGCAACATTTTTGTATATAAAGCAGAAACATTTTTGTCGCGCGTGTTTTGGCCAAATACAACCAATCCACCAGCAGAATGGGCAAACAAGTTTCGAGTTTCTCGGCGGTCCACTATGCAAATTAAACACTAAATACTAAAGATATACACATGTCGCTTTGGATATTTTGTAATATCACGATGAAAACGAAAGTGAATCCGCCGCTTGACTTTGAAAAGCGCTCGAACGAAAGCCACCGAAAGACCCTTCCAGCTGCCCTTGTTGTCGCCTTGCTGGTTTCACTTTTATTCCGCCATGTACCGAGTTGTTAACTCTATCGAATTAAAATAAATTCGCCACCGCCGCGGCCGCCGTTGTGCCCAAAAGAAAGAAAGTGAAAGAAATGTACGAGTTTGTACCCATGTGCACATGGCTAAGTTGCGGCACAAGTTTTGCGCTCGAAATCATAACAGTAATGGCAACAGGTTGGCTGACTCTTACAGTCCGTCCCACTTCTAAACCTCGAACTCGTTCAGTTTGATTTTGTGAAAATATAGCGAAATGGGTTGAAAATGGAGTTTATGTTTTTAGTTTAGATATGAAACTTTAAGCTCTTCAATGCAGTGTATGATTCCATTTGATTGTTTAACTGCAAGGAAATTTAAATAAATGTCATGTGTACTCAAAAATATTTTTAAAAAGTTAGAAAGTCCAAGTTAGAGTTTGAAATATGATTTTCAATTAAAATTACTCAAAGTAAACATTTTGATTACCGCACAAGAAATTCAGTTTACTGAAGTGAGACTGTATTTCAAAACAGATTTTGAATCTAGTCCGAAGCGCTGCTCTTTTTTGAATTGTCACACTGCCGTTACTTTTTCCAACTGGCCGAACGTGACGCATTTCTTTGGCTTTATTTCATTGAATAAATCTCTTCGCCAGATGCAGGCTCTGTGGAAATAATTGCTAGCTTACATACTCTCATGTAAATTGGCATTTTCTGTGCGCCGTAATGATGGGAAACATGCCAATGACATTGTTGTCCAACGCGAGTCGAACATTATGGCTGTGGAAAGCGAATTTACATAGACAATGTGCGATTTTTGTGGCCTGAAAAGAAAAGCGCAGATTTTGCCAATGGTCAATTAAAATACATTTCCATTTCCACACAGTGCTCACCATTATTTCCGCTCAGGCAAACTGCACTCGACTTCAAAACAAGTTTTTGTTGACGTCTGGTTTAACCGAAACTAAAACCAAAACCAAAACAAAAACAGGTGCAACAACCGCCCGGCCAGCGGCATTTTATATAATGGTCAGTTTTAAAAAGGAGCAATTTCTCACATAGTTTATCGGCATTGCTAACATACTTTGGCCAGTCCACGGATTTTCCAAAAACTGTTGACTTTCTGTAATTCCTTTAAATTAATAATTCTTCTTGTATCGTTTTAAGAGAATCGATTGGCTGAAACGATTCCTTGAGATAGTGCTATCGATATAATTAGTTCTTCTGCCATTAGTTCTGCGTTCTTCCTGCGCATATATAATCGATATTGTTTTGTGATTTCTAACTCAACTCCTTATCGAAGACTCTGCTCACATTTTTTCAATAACTCACATTTTCACTTCAATAACAATTTAATCACAATCTGAAAAGTGTTTGATTGTCTGATCAAGTGCTTGTACTCTCCCATACAGGATTTAACTTGGGTAATTATGGCTAGATTTGAGTCTATTGTAATGTTTAATACCCTTACAAAAACATTATTTACACTACTTTTATACTTAACAAGAAAATATAAAGTACAATACAGAAGTGTGAACATTTTGAGATTTCCCATCCCTTGCTGCATTTCGAGCGAGTTGGCAGAGTTGACTTAGTGTGAGCTTAATTTACGCGCGATCATGTCCAAGAAACCCATCGATCATGACCAGGGTGGCCAAATCCTCAAAGATAAATCCTCGGAATTCACAGTGGAGAAGTTTGTGAGGAAGCGCTATCTACGTGGACGTCCCCAGTATCTGGCCAAGTGGGAGGGCTATCCAATGAAGCAGTGCACCTGGGAGCCACTGGAGAACTTGGGCAATTGCATGACGCTGGTTGCGGATTTCGAGGCGGAACTATACAAGCAAGACCAGGAAAAAATGAATACCCACTGACAAGGAGAAGATGTTAATGCAAATTGTTGGCTACAAATAAAAGCTATATTGTTGGGTGCCTGTTATAAAATTGTTTATACATATGTATATTTTGTTACTTTTTCAATGGAATGACATCAGGGCTGTAAAAACGCTGCTAGGAAGCGCCAACCTTCTTATACAAATATCTAATTATGTTCGTTTCATTTGCGAGCTAATTTATTAAGTAGAACCAAACAAATATGTGATAAATGTTAATATGTTTGTAGATGCAACTTTAACTTGAGTTAAACACATTAAAAAAAAAATACCAAAAGCTTTCCCCATCCCTGAAGGTATTTTGAGGGAGTTGGCAGCACGACCGAAGCTACTTGTTTTGGTTAATTTGATTTTCCGTTCTTTTACTCGGCGTCCTTTAAGCGATTAAGTTATGTCTGGCGAAGCTCAACGACCAAATCCTGGCCTGGTCGTTGGCCCGCCTAACGATCAAGCCCAAGAATATAAAGTGGAGAAAATCCTCGGTAAGCGCTTTATTAATGGGCGTCCCCAGTACCTGGTGAAATGGGCTGATTTTCCGCACGAGGATAACACCTGGGAGCCGATGGAAAACGTCGGCAACTGCATGCAGCTGGTCTGCGACTTCGAGGCGGAGCTCTTCAGGCGAATGAGGAATGCCCCAGTTAAATCTAAGAGGGAGTTTAATCCCAGTCCTAGAAGCAGCGGCCCATTGACCACCGAAAATAGCCCCAAGGGCTCTAAGGAAACACAACAACGTTCCAAGCCGGTGCAGGCAAAGAAAAAAGGTAATAAATCGCAAGTGTATCGGAAAGAGAAGGAAAATATTAAGAAAATGGCGGGAACAATCCAAAGTGTTCAAAATAGGCCTAAAACGCTGATGCCTAGTACTACCCAAGCCCCAACTCCGAGGTCAACGGATGTTTTCAACGACAATCCATCAACCGAAACGAAAACCCTGAATAAGACTCCCAGGCATAGCCAAATCACTGCTCTGAATTTGAGCGAATCCAATGACGAGGAAACCGTGGGCGCCACATCTTTAAATTACCAACGAGCTCGTCTTCCCAAACAAAAAACTCCGACGCCGCCACAACCGCGCGAGCAGCTTATCGAATATCCCCAAGGGGAAGACGCACTGGTGCCCTCGAAATATGTGCCTCCTGTGCTGCATCATAAAGAATCCCAACCTTTGCAGAGTCCAAGCCAAAGTGATGACTCGGATGATTGTTCTTCCACCAGTTTGTCATCATCCAGTGACTTGTCGTCGACAGAATCATCGTCCAGCTCTGTGGCATCGATTAAGGTCGCCCAATCGGAACCTAAAACAACATCGCTGGACCAGATAAAGTTGTTGCCTAGTTCATCCGATGTTTCCAAAGCTGGTCCTGCGGCCTTTTCACTGCACGAACTAAAAAGAGAGGCTCGAAAATGGGCGGCCGAAAAGAGGGACTCCAAATTTTGCCCTCTGACCACAATGACTGAGAGCGCAAGCTCCAGCATGGGGTCAAATACTTTGCTACAATCCATGGCTTTGGATTTAACTGACAATGATCCCCTGGATTTCGAAATGGAGCGCGTAAGAAATGTTATTTTCAACCTAGAAAATCAAACCAAAGCTAGTGAAATATTTTAATTTCAATTTAAAAACCAAAACGTAAATGTTAAAGGGTTTCATTTGTATAAAACCCTGTTGTTCAGTTAAACTTAATTAAACCTACCTATTAGGCTGTAGTCATCAAGAAAAAGTTTCTATAGCAATGATTTGATTTTCTCGTCCATTAAAACAACTCCTCTAAGAAAAAATTGATTCAACTGGAACAGGTGCGCGGCTGTCCTATAAAGCAGCAGAGCAACTGGAACCTTCCCGAGCCGCTAATGATGCCGCCAGTGAAGCAAATCAAATCGAGCCAGCCAGTAAATCGCCGCATGAGCCAAGCTGGGGCCAAAAAGGAGGCGGCTAAGCATCGCGTTGGCCAGCAGCATTCGATAACGACTCACGCACCCAAGTTAGATGTCAAGAAGAAGGCGAAGACATTGCCAGGCGGCAAGCGTGGAAGAACTAGCCAAGATTGGAGAATGCCGGAACGCAAGGCACCCTTTGGATTGGATCGCGGACTGGAGCTGGATACAGTCCACCACAGCTACCAGGTGGGAGAGCATCTCTTCCTGTTTGTCTCGTGGAAGGGCTGCTTGGCTATCGATGCAGTTCCTCTGAAAGACCTTAAGGAAGCGTATCCATTGCAGATAATTAAGTACTTCCAGAGCTTGAAGATCGCTGTGCACAAGTAAAGATGTCTAGTACCTGGTGAGTTGTGGCAGTAGTTCATGTTGGCCCTGTGCCCGTAACCTTAAACGCAAGCATCCGCTCCCGAGCAGCTTCAGTTTCTTCTTCATAACTTTACAGTTCGACGCTCGCAATATTTGAGCCATGAGCCATGAAAACTTCACGTTGCCTTCGGGTCAAGATAAATGCCATCGAAAAACAAAACAGAAACGAAAACGAGGCATCATCCGGTCGGCGGATCCACTCGTTTGATTCGTTTCCCTGTACATTGCACCTGTATCTGCATTTTTCTCTTCTCTGCTTGGTAAACCATTGATAATGCCAATGTTACCCATATGACAAATTGCTTGCCCATATCGTGGTTGCACTTAGTACATAGTTCTTTGTAGATTCATGGCTGTACCTGTGCAGATTTATGAGTAGTTCCAAGGGAAAAATTTAAGATGTCTTCATAGCGTTAACGAGAGTCTATTATTGGCACACGTGTGTATCCCGATATCCCGAACATGCTTCTTGCCGTCTTCCCTTTTCGTAATTGTAGATTTCTCGCTCGCGATCCGCCAGCGAAAATTATGAGGCTCCAGACTCTGGGTTTTCGGTTTCCATTTGGCTTATCTGTCGCATCTGTTGACAGCTGCTTTGCTTTGAACTCGTCGGCTTGGCAACACATACCTCTGAACAGATTGGACCAACTCCCTCGCAAAAGTAGTGGGCGTTTAAGCGGCTCCGCGGTTCATTCAACCTGAGTAGAGTCGCAGAATGAAGTCACCAATTCGAATTGTGATTCTGTGCAGATGCAGTCTGTTGCTTTAATGGCGTATCTCTCATAGCTTTAACCTTCAATCGCACACAAGTACTTAGTTATAGTCGCTGAGGTGACACGCACAGCTGCTGGAGAGGCGACACACCTTTGTGGGGCACACGATAGCGCCACCAACTGGACTCGCCGGCTAATGGACTAATATGTCCATTTAATGCTGCCTTTCGCAAGTCAATGTCAATTGTAAGCTGTTTGAGGCTTGCTGAGTAGTATCAGTAGGATTTCACTGCAGATCATAACTTAGTTCCACGGATTAATGCATTGCTTCGCATGCATATAAAAATATAAAAGTTTTATGTCTAGGTAAATTCGCTGTTAGGTGTCCATAATTAGTTTTATTGTGGAATTAATGACTGACAGCGTATTCATTTCATTTAATTACTTTAAAATCTTAATTAGTAGGGTCAAGAGTAAGTGACAAAAAAAAACATAGTTAAAACTTTTGGGTGGAAATTGTTTTGTATATTGTTATATATACAGTATCATAGTTCCAACCAAAAAATCGAATTATGATTTTAATGCATATGCATGATGAAGTCCACCTTTGTGGGAAAGGCGTGTTTGCACTCTGCTGTTTGCTCCAACAGACTATTATTATTTTCTATTATTGCTGTGCAATTTACTCATTTTTACCTTCCTGATTTCTGGGTTGCCTTCGACTTTGGTGTTCATTGATTTATGTGTGTTTAAATTAGCTGTCCATGGCATTTGCCATAATTTCTGTAGCTGGAACATGTTTTTCCACCCATTGCGGTCGTGCAGAAGGGGTTTTAGGGAGTGGTTGATGGAAGGCGAAATGGGAAAAGGGTTATATTCCCCCAAACTATTTAATTTGGGTAAAAATTTCCGCTTCTTAATTGGTCTACCTTAAATATTCAAATTACCTATCAAATGTCAAATCATCGAAAGCTGTTTTACCTTCCACCGCTGAAGACAGCCGAAAAATGCTTAATTTCCTGATTGTGAAATTTCGTCTGTAACCATATTTTTTTATCAGGCAAAATTTGCATTTAATTTCTGCCGCCACAAGGCAGCAACAGCAACAACAATGAGGACCTCGTATGTGATAATTTTCTCGCTCGTTTGACCATTTTTGGCTTGAGATGTAATTACGCCCAATACAGCAACAAGTAACCGGTAACAACAGCAACGGGCAACCTCATTTATGACGCTTTGCATATGGTAAACAACAAATCAGAAAGACACAAAATGTGTTTTCTATGTCGGTGGTAGTTGGTTGCAGTTGTAGTGCATTTTGTTTAACGCTTCGTTTATTACCAAAAACAGCAACGAACGCATTTCTTGGCTGGATGTTGTTGCCTCTGCTGCTGCTGTTGTAGTTGTTTTGTGGTCGACTGCGGCCAGCAGCAACATTTCGGGTCGCGTAGGTTGAGATACAATAATTTAATATGCAGTCATATGCAGAGGAGCGTCTCCCTTCCCCTAATCCCCTATCTTTCCTACTGCAATTTCCTCCTGCCTCATCCGATGTCCAAGTAAACTGGCTTTTCTCACTCGATTTGCAAGAGAGTGGGTGTGTTTTCCACTATTTGGCTGGCTTATTTGTGATTTTGTTTGACAGTTTAATATGACCGCTTGTTTGTTGGCACGAGTCACAATTTGCTGCCGCTGTTTGGCATCTCTTGTGTGTGCTTTGTGCCGCTGGGTTAGGGGTTATTGGAACAGCAATTATACGTAGTTAAGGTGGCCCAATGCGGCTGCCATCGCCGTGCATTTGTTACAGCAACAACAGCTGCGGGAGATGTGGTTAGATTTCCCAATGTTGGTTAACCCGATGGGGCGCTAAATTAGGTTGGCTCCATTACAAGAGCTGATTGATTGTTGATGGCATATTTATCATCGGATAATCTCCGATGGAGGGATTTCAAAGGTGGGTCTTGTTAGAGTACTATGTAATTCTTATTGCTCTGGACAAGCTAACAATTACTTAAGCTATGTACCTTCAATTTTTGCATTATCAAAGTGTACATAACACTTTTATAAGCCCTTGTTTTCCCTGCTTTATCTTCAAGCACTTTTTCTGTAGCTTTTTACTCGCTTGACCTCGGAAAACTAGTTCAGTTTTCCCTTTTCTTTAACGCAAGTGCATCCCCGTCTTCAGCGACCTTGCTTTGTTTCTTAAGAGCTTTTATCTATTTCGCTTTTATGTTGACCACGCCCCAAGAATCAGAAACAGGTCGGCTCCTCTTGATGTTAATTTCACGCCCGTTAAAGTAATTAAATTACCTTTGTTTGTTTTTATGAGTGCTTTTATTTTTGTTTGTAGTGCAACATTAAAATTAGTTTTTGTAGCAATATAAAAATGTGTTTTTCATGTCGTTTTTTTGTTGTTTTGTTTCTTTTTAGGTTTGTACAGCGCTTTGACCAGAAAGCAAAATTCACACCACACAACAAAAGCAACTCCAAGTTCAAGGTCATTGTATCCAAACTGGGTGAACTCCAACTGACCCATTAAATTTAACTATTCTTTTTTACTTCATATTTAGTTTTAAGCCAGACAGAACACACACCAAGATGTGTTTATATTATGTTTTATGTTTTCTGTACATGTAGAAGAATGTACATATCAATGCTTTCAATGTTCCAAGTAACCTGATACTCAAACTTTTTGTCCAATAAATCTTGTTTTTGGATTGACATCTGATACTTTGTGCTGTCTTTGCCAGCGATTAGGGAACTTAAAGCTGAAGGTCGAACCACCTTTCCTCAACGATTCACCTTAGTTATTTAAATTCATATTATAAACAATATCTTGTTCTAACCACACCAAAGTGGGCTGCCACGGCATTGGTTGAGCCACTCGGCTTAAATGTCAATGGGTAGTAAGCCAAAATCGAACTTTAGGCAAGCTGGCTCTGTGGTCCCAAACTGAAGTTGTTGACATTTTTGCTTGACTTTTTGAATTATTTGCAGCATCGCCCCACAAACCTCTGCAATTACCTTGCGTTGGTATTTCTTTTGTTGGTCTTTCGGGGTGTGTTCTGAGCGAAGGAGAGACTCCATTGATAAAAATGAGTTTTATATGTTAATTTGGCAAGCTCCACTGCTGCATTCTTCCAATCGAGGTGGAATGTGCATTGTGGTTGGAAAGTGGGCGCCTTTTTAGAGGCTACAAATGTTGGTATTTCAAAGTTTTGAGTCACTATACCAACTCATAACGAATTGTATTTCAAAGTTCGATGGAAGATCGAAAATCATTTCCTGCACGTATGTACATCGTGTGTAAGCCAGTTTCCTCGTATAGTTTTTGCCCCTCATAAGCTTACTTTGATGGCTCCTATGCTCTTTCTCCTCAAAGTGTCTGTAACTCTGCACAATTTCTCATTAATCACCCACTTCCAAAGCCTCAGTTTGCTTAGTTTCGTTTTATAGGTTGCTTTTGGCATTTTCTTATGGGCTAGATACACCTACGATTTCCGCACTTGCTGAAAAATGCGTCTACCCATTTTTGCTTTTGTTTGTTGTATGCCATGAAGCAGGCAAAGCCAAATGTTTGAGCCGTGAGTCAGTGAGTCAAAGCAAACTAAGGCAAGACATCAAGCCCCTGTCGATGTGCCACGCCCCAACGAAGTGCATTGAACGCATTTACTTCTCGCTGCCTCGCTTCGCACTCGATTTTCCGTGCAGTTTTTCGCTTTTCTTTTAATTGGGGATTTCTGGCTTTGGCTTTTCCTCGACTCTGTTTTCCCTGCCTTGCATTCGCTTCGTTCCGTTTCACTTTCGCGCAACTAACTTGCTGCAACTATGCCAGTCGAGTCGGAGCTCTTGGTTTTTTAGTTTTGGTTTTGTTTATATGGCTTCCAAGTCGGTCTGGTCACCTGGCGTTGTCCGAGGTGGTGGTCACTTTGGTGGTAAAAGAAAAGGCACTCGAGCAGAACTGCCCGTTAAAAAATTTGACAATTTGGCAGCCGGTCTCTTAAATCACAAACAAAAGCTGAAATTTATGAATTTAATTTTGTTTTTGGCAAATAGAAAGCGTTGACACTAAACGGAAGTGTTCGCCAAAGGGGCGAAAGTCGCGGTAGATTGAGTGATTGGCGCAAGGCAATGCGAGAAAGAGTTCAAAATGTGTTATGCAACCGAATGGGGGAAATTCGAACAATACGATCAATAATCCAGCCAGCTGGCATTTGTGCACCCAGATCGGGTTTCCCACCGCAGCACCAATGCAACTGCAACATATCGCTCAATTAACCCAGTCTAATAACCAATCAAATGCCACTCTGACCCCGCATAATAGACCAGTGATTCATGCCGCCCAGTGACCCAAAAGTTGAATCAGACACCCGCGTACAAGATATACATACGTAGATACTGCACAGCCATGGCCACTTGAATGGGACAACCCGCTGGGCTGCTGGTTTGGCTGAAGTTTATATGTGGCATATGTTTGGCTAATGATTTCTGGCCCAGTGACACAACAAGCGCCAATATTTTGAGACCAAAGGCGGAGTCAAATAACAGGCCAGGTGTGCGCGTCCATTCTGGGTTGAACTTTGCGCCCGTCCCAGAAAAAGCGTAGCCAATGGAGTGTGGCTAAATGGGCCTAAATCCTTGACCCATTTGCACGTTCTCTTAGCCGACTGGCATTTCCGTTTTGTGTTGCAAAGTGCAAATTTAAACTCTGCTTTGGAGTTCGCTTCAATTTGCAGTCATTAAACCTTTTCGGCTCGCAAAATTATGTATCCCAAAATGGTAAAGAGAAAGAGAAATAATATTCGGTAGGCGATTTTCAAGGTGTATTATGCGGTTTTACCATTACGTTGCCTGCGATTGTTGTCATTTGTCTTCTTTGAAATGAGCGATCGAGCGGAAAGTCAATGGGGTTAAGCTGCCATTAACTCAGTTTGGGTAGGGAAATATTTGCTAAAGGCAGGAAATATCAACGATTGTAGATAATTAACTTTTGTTCACCTATAAGTTATACATTTTCATCTTTATTTAGGAAGCTGTTGCCTCTAAATGACCCTTTATTTTTAATTGGCCAAAATTGGAGGCCTATAATGGATCTCAATTCAAAATACCATGTAAACTCTGCCTGCATAGACATTTAAGCTTATGTGCCATTCACGGATGTTCCGCAAGGAAAACAAGTTTGCGTCTTAAGTCATTCGTTTCCTTTGTGGCCTTTTGTAACTGGAAATTATGGGCCAGCTACCGCGACAGCAACAGCAACAGCAACCAGTGTAGAGCGGCGAAACCTGTAATAAAAATATGCAGTTATCCTTGGGCTTACGGTTCATCAGGCCGCCCTATAAATATATATGTTTCTTCAGGGAATGAAGAGGAGTATCTCTGCCCGCGACTTCAGCTGAATGCTCAGAGGCAGCGGGCTTTTAAGCAGGAAATGATGCCCAAAAGCAGTAACAACATCAAAAGCTGGCAATTTGGCTGTAACAGCAAACAAATCGAACACTCAGAGAAATATTTTGCTGCACTTCGAGGTTACCATCGTTGCGTTGCACTGAGTTGCACCGAGAGAAATATATTTTACAGGACAACTTGTTTAATTTCATTTGGAATTTTAATTTTAATACACGTTTCCTTCCACGAGCTAAATATTTACATTTGATTTCATGTTTCTTGGTGCGCAGTGTTTCTTAGCTTAGTGGCAAAAGCAGAAGAAGCGGTCTCTTAACGAGCGGCATGCATAAAATATGCCCTTTTTGCTGCAGACATGGCTGATCGCCTGATTGCAGATCGTTCGCGGACTCTGCGTTTTTAATAAAAATGTCAAGCCATGAATGGTGCCTCTGTTACCAACGGGCAACAATGAATTGGCAATTTGCAGAGCTGCTCCTTCGCTAAGTAATCCCCACATTAAGGCATCAGTTATTGGACAGTGCGAGTATTTGGGATTCGGATTCGGATTTCCGCGCGTTGGCGTCGCCAGACTCTTCAAAAGCCATTCAACTCTTGATAACCCTTGATTGACGGTGGCTGGCAACCTGACGAACCCATCTCAAGTGTTATTTGCTTTAATAACACTCGAGAACTGCAGGGTTTTTTACTGTTGGTTCATTGAACTCATCCGATCGATGGAAGCCAATTCTTAGCCACTTATGTAGGCTCCAACCACTTGGGCACCCACTGGGCTTTGAGGGTGTACTGTATGTATGGCTTCTATGATATCTGGACACGCCCAATTTGAAGTGGCAGCCGGGACCAAATGAAGCCTACGGTTCCCGAAAACGGAATATGCAAATGCGGAGGCAGAACAAAAGCAAAGCGAAGCTCGGGAGAAGAAACCTTGTTGTTCACACAATAAATCACGACAACCAGAACAGCTATGTGGTACATATATACCTATTGTAATTACAACAACAATAGTCAGCTGGCCGACAAAACTAAGCCAAGATTGTTGACCATTTTGTCGTTGAAGCGTGCGGCAAAATGTTGTGTTGTCTGGCTTTTGTTGTGCCATTCTTTGTATTCGCCAAAGAAAAAAGACAAAACAGCAAAACAGAGCTGGGCAAAATTATGCGGAAAATTACAATGCATAGAAATTTGTGCCGTTTGAGAGACAGATCTAATCGTGAATTATGTATTTCTGGGTGTAGGCTAAGGTTACATAATCATTTTGTGTGTGTTTTTGGTAGCACTCGTTATGTCAGCAAGGAAATTACCCTCAAATTGATTTGAGGTGTGATGTAGGTTGCTGCTGTTAAGAATTTTCAATTTGAACTATGATTTAAGGTGTATTAACTCGAATTTATAATACCTTGATGCATTATTACTAGTTACATTTCATGTCAAGAGCACCGTTTTTTGCTCCATTTTCTCAAACCCCGGAAAGTGTACAATTAAAATGCAGCCAATCCCTTTTACCACAACTGAATTCTATCCGCCACTTGCATTTCAATGGCCACAACTCACTCAGTATTTCGATTGCGGGACATTGCGCCACTTGGCAGTAGTGCCACAAGTTGGAAGGCAAACAGACTCAGATGGGGCACCCCACAGATTCAGATAGGGAGCGAGGAAAAACAGTTCTATTACTTAATATGCAACACTAATGCGAACAATGGCAGCACGACATCGTGGCAAAGGAAAAACCAAAGCCCCAAACACCAGAAACCCACAAAAACCGAAGGCCCAGGCACACGATCCTCCGGTTGCTCCGTCACCAGACATTCAATCAACACTACTCGTACCACTTCGACATGGAGATCTTAGGGAAAAAAATAGTTGAGCACCACCAACTTAGAAAGGCAACCCGTTGATGGGGAAAAACTTAAGACGCAGAGTAGGCAGACCAAGGCGGTCAACAGTTTTTCACACCTCAGTTTTTGGTTCAAACACTTATGTACGTGCTATAGTTTTCAAAGCTCCATTGATATAGAACCACTTTTTTCGGCGGCATTTTATTTGGAGATTTTGCTACGTGCCGGGGGTTCAGTATTTGGGATCTGTTCTCTGTTTGCTTGGAATCTACGGGAGATTGGAGTTCGAGATTGAGTGCTGACAATGGCAAGGAATTTCGGCTTCGTTGCTGGAATG